TTTTACTGACCCTCTACTTTACCAAGCATGATGTCCTCCTCCCAGGACTTGTCCATCTTGATAATATGTCTGAAGTATGAGAGACAAAGTCTCACCATCTGGCTTCTAAGGGGCAATCTGATTGTTCTTCCAACATAGATCTGTTTGTTCTTCTGACAGTCCATGGTACTTTTACTATTCTCCAACACCATAATACAAATACATGGAATCTTCTATTGTATTCATTACTCATTGTCCAACTTTCACATGCATGAGGCTATTGAAAATACCATGGCTTGGGTCAGACACACCTTAGTCCTCAAACTGATATCTCGTGCAGCAGATTTGCCAAATGCAATACATCATTTGATTTCTTGACTGTTGCTTCCGTGAGTGTTGATTGTGGATCCAAGCAAAATGAAGCCTTTGACAACTTCAATCTTTTGTCCATTTATTATGATGCTATTTATTGATCCACTGGTGAGGATTTTTGTTTTCTTTACATTGAGGTGCAATATGTGTATCCTTTGACCTTCATCAGTAACTATTTTAAGTCCTCTTTGCTTTCAGCAAGCAAGGTTGTATAATCTACATATTTGTTGTTGTTAAGTGCCGTCAAGCCAGTTCCAACTCATAGCAACACTTCATAGGGTTTCCAAGGAACAGCTGGTGAAGTTGACCCACTGACCTTGTGGTTCAAATTGACATTATGATCCAGTGCTTATCCTACAGCACCACACTACAGACTCCAAATCTACAGATCGCAGCTCGTTAATGAGTTCTCCAGTCCCAATGCCATGTTTCTCTTCATATAATCCATCTTCTCGGATTACTCTCAGAATACACCTTTCCTGATTTTAAACCATTCATTGTCCCCTTGTTCTGTTTGAATGACTACTTCTTGGTCTAAATACAAGTTCCTCGTGAGCACTATGAAGTGTTCGGGAATACCTACTCTTTGCAATGTTATCCATAGTTTGTCATGTTCTACCTAGTCAAAAACCTTTGCATAGTCAAGATCTATGTGCCATCAACAGTGAAATCCCTAGTTCCACATCCTCTTCTGAATCAACTTGAATTTCTGGCAGTTGCAACCTTTTTTTTAAAAAAAATGTCTTATTGTGACTTATGTGATAGTGTACATGGGAGAACATTAGCTTTACATTTATCCTATCATATATAATTTCATTGCCATGGTTGCATCATCAACCAACCAAAGGGTATATCCTGCAAGACTGCCCCCTAGTCATCAGCATCTCTGGGTCTAGAGTCCCCAGCTGCTCCATCTCTCCACGTCATCGTCTCAGTTGTAACCATTTTTAAATCTTCAGCAAAATTTTATTTGCATGGGATATTAATGATATTGTTCCATGCTTTCTGCATTCCATTGGGTCACCTCCCTTTGAAATGATCACAAATATGGGTCTCTTCTGTTTGATTGGCCAGCTAGCTGTCTTCCAAATTTCTTGGTATAGATGAATGAGCGCCTCTAATTTCAATTTTTATTCCATCAATTCCTAAAGCCTTGTTTTTCACCAGTGCCTTCAGTGCAGCTTGGACATCTTCCTTTAGTAGCATTGGTTGTTGATCATATGCTACCTCTTGAAATGGTTAAACATCAACCATTTCATTTCAGTACAGCGACTTTGTTTTCCTTCCATCTTCTGTAATGCTTTCTGCATCATTCAATATTATGCTTATTTTTTGTTGTTGTTGTTAAATGCCATCAAGTCAGTTCCAACTCATAGCGACCCTGTATAGGGTTTACCGAGGAGTGAATGGTGAGCCTGAACCACCGACATTGTGGTTCAAACTAACTTTGCAGTCCAGTGCATTAATCCACATCATCACACTTCAGGCTGAGGCTTGAATTTTTTCTTCAGTTCTTTCAGCTTGAGAAATGCTGAGTGTGCTCTTCCCTTTTGGTTTTCTAACTCCAGGTCTTTGTACATTTCATTATAATGCTTGACTTTGTCTTCTCAAACTGCCCTTTGAAATTTTTTGTTCAGCTCTTTTACCTCCTCATTTCTTCCATTCATTTTAACTTCTCTATGATGGAAAGACCCCCAACGAGATGGAT